TTTATGCTTTTACTCTGCTACATTTTGGAGGCAAATGTTTTACCTTTTAGACCACTACATGTATTTTACCGATTTAATTAGTAGCTACTTTGAAGATTTAGATTATTAATACTGTATTATATATTATACAGGACTATTACAATTAATACAAACCAATAATACATTATTATATGTTAAAGCTACAAAGAAATCCACATGTTCATGGATGTGCGCTTACGTCATTAGCTTGACGCTAACGACACCCAACTTGCCTTAATCCTTGCACCAGTGCTCTCTTCAAGTTCACGGATTTTGGCTCCTCCTTTACCTTTAACAAGATTAAATGTGTTTAATGTCTACCCAAACATATCTACACACTTGTAAATACAGCAGGGAAAGAGATGCAACATAAACTACACTAACGCAATGTTACAGATCATACCCACACACACGTTCCTGAATCTGTGCAGAATGGCTAATACGCAACCAATGCCATGTGACTGCTTAGCCTAGCAACGCTAACTTGGCCTAGGCTAAGATAGCTAACTGTAGCATTTAGCTCCAACGGATGAAATAAAAACATTTTGAAGTGAATGTACTGCTATGGAAATATAACATGTCAATTAAAGTACATTGACATTCACATGCTGTGAAAATGGAGTACAGTACCTCACCAATTTGCTCAAACGTCAACAGTTTGACACCAACTGAAGTCCGCTGATTTAGCCTAGCTAGTGATTTAGCATAGCTAGCAATACAATTTAGCATAGGTTCCAACGTTTATAGCACCATTTAAAACTGGAATAACTGTTTTAAAAACATACCTATTATCCTGCCAACTAAACTATTTTCCACAGCAAAAGTCACAGGCTGTGAAGAGTCCGACTTTTCATCGCCAAAGGTTCCCCGTCCTGGGCCTCCGGAGCTCCGGGGAAACGGTCGACCTTCGCCCCCGCCTCGACGACTTCTATATTCGGATTCCTGGTCGCCACGGTCCGCTTTCCAATCTCTGGAGGCTGCAAACCGGGTTCCATTTCTCACATCGAAATATTCCTTTTGTTTCTGACTGTCATCGCGGTACGGTTTCCACTCAGTTGGAGCTGATGTTGCGGCAGGTTTTTGAATAGCAACGCCATCCACGTTGTACTCATCTTCCCAGTTGGCCATTTTCAATTTGGCTCTCCACCTGCTAACCCTACGTACATGCTGCTAACTCACTGCGTCACAATTAGCTGTCAAGCTGTCAATCAAGAATGCCGCCTTCATGTAACCTCTGTGAGTTTATACTTCCACGTTTCTTTTGTGGAGAGATTTTGATAAATATTGAACTTATCAACGGTTAGAGAAGTACTCAGACCTTGTACTTAAGTAAAAGTAGAAGTACCAGAGTGTAGGAATACTCTGTTACAAGTAAAAGTCCTGTATTCAAAGGTTACTATGAAAATTGATAAGATTTTGACAAATATTTAATTTATTAACACTGAATTTAGTTAATAATAATCTTACACTTGTCATATTCATAGTGTAGCACAGAAAGGTGGAGGAATTTGCGAAAATATTAATAGATGTTTTAACTTTTACCCATTGTTCACTACCCTGAATATACAATCCTTATCCCAAAAACTCATCATGACCATCATGTGTTACTTTCTTGTTTTTTTTGTTTAAATGTTGATCGGAACAGTAAATCAAAGACACAAACAAAAACAGTTTCGTTGATTTGTACTTTATTATAGAATAATAAAATTATTTTTGCATTTCTCATCAAGAGAGAACATAATGTGCACTTTAATAAATTAATTTCAAAGAAATACAAATGTTAACATTATCAAGCTTTAAGGCCCAGTTGTGTAATACATTACTGTTCAAGCAGTAGATAAATTGTATTATTAGCCATCAAAGCCATTTAAAGTCTGTGGACAGGACCTTTATAGCCTCGTGAAAAAAAAAATACTTTTCATATGCAAGAAAGGCACCCTTAAGCAATTTACAGATAGCAAAAGCTGAGCATGTTGTATGACAGGAACAATCCATGGGCTTTCCTGTGTTTGACATCTCGTTTCAAAGTAACAGACAGTTCTTATTGGCCTCTTTTCATATGTAGCAAAGCTCAATCAATAGCTACAAAATAATCTATTCCAATATTAAGCCTTAAACTACCATGTCACATTTTCAGGCTCCTCAAAGTCTTCAAAAACAGCTGTGCTTTCACGTTGATGATATATTTCATCATACCAGAAAAAAAGTCAGCATGGGCTGTAGAATATTTCAAAATCAAGTGTTTACAATTTTAATTTGTTAGGAGATAATACTTGTTATATTCTACTACAGAATATTAATTTGCTAAGCGATGCACTTACTCACCATTTAACACAAAGGGGAAATAACTGAAAAAAACATGATGAATCAAGGTTGTCATTAACACATTAAAATACATTTTTAAGACTGCTGTGACGGCAAACCCCTAAGAGGTAAACATGCAAAAACAAATCAAAATGGCTAACAAAAATTAAGATGGGGGACATAGTTTTTCTGCATAATTCTGATTCAATAGCAGTCAACAAGCAGGATGGCATTGGATTATAGTGTTAGGACAGTGTCATTTAGGAAACTTGCAATGCCTCATCTTCCTTTAACCTGCTAGTGAAAACAATCTGAATATGGACTTACTGCACCTACATATACATATGTGCACTTGAGTGTTTTTAAGCGTATCATAATAACCGTAATTGGTTAAGTATTGTAATTATGATTGATGTGATGAGGAGGAAGTACATGCACATACAAAATGGTGGTAAACTAAACATATTTTTCAGGGGGGCAGCAGACAACTTTTAAGCAGCCACACAACAAACACATTTTAATCTCAATCTCAGATTCAATTCTGTCTTGCTTCGTCAGTATCCTGCTGAAGTTTCCTTAAAACATTCCTCTGAATAAGTGCACCAGCTGAATGTTGAAAATGCAGAAGTCACAGAAAATATATAAGCATTTTGTATTAAGATACTGTAATATGGCAAATCTTTCTCATCTCATCCACCCTCGCTCCTGATTTACAATTTGAATACATCACATTTTTGTCAGCAGCAGAAGGGACACATGGATCAAGTAACAACACACATACTGGATCATCAACAGTGCATGTACAGTACATTGTTATCATGGGTTTCTCAGGTGAATCCAACGTAACCTGATATGTTATAAGTGGAGTCTGTGCATTGCACATGTGGCCCTGTAACTCCTCACTACCCCTACTGTGCTCTGGATTGGGAGGAGGGAATATGTTTAGTCCAGCAGCCTCTAATCATTATTGATGCACAAGGTGCAAACAGCACCCAGTAAAAAGACAGGGTTTGTCAACTAAACAAATTAAAAGAGGTTGTATGTTTGTTCTAAAAGGTCATTGTAAGTGGGTTATTCATAACTACATTTACATTAGTTCAATATATAATGTTCATATAGGCAGTCTTTGTTCACACTCTAGTGATTAGGATTTTGAGGAAACATTGCTTTAAAGCAACATTAGCTATTTGTCCTTAAAGTAAGAGCTTACAAATCATTTTAAAGGTGTAATAGGGAGAATTGCACCCCTGAACATCTGTTCTTTAACTACATCACTTAGGTAATTGCTTCATTCATTCTCCCAGGAGAAGTGCATAAGGTTTCATGGCACTAAGTTGATTTTAGTGGAACTGGGTCATATTCAATTGACACAATGTTTTCAGATTTCCCTCGACTAACTATGATTTACGGAGTTTCCTGATGTACAAAAAGCTTTACCTTCTGCTAGGGCAACTAAAAACGGCTAACTAACAATTGCAGCTATCGGCGAGTTAGCCGTTAGCCGTGCAGTCAGGACTTGCACTTGTGAAGTTAAAAGCTGTCCAACAGTTGTGTGTGGGGGGGCTAAAAAAATAAAAAACAAACAATAACTACATAACATTGCAGTAACTTGCAGAACGATATCCAGGCCACCAGCGTTGTGCAACTGCTCTTATTGCAACAGCTTAGACATGCAGCATCTCATGCTCAGCTTGATAAACCTACTGCAATTCACTATTCAGACATAGTCCAGCACTTTGTCTTCACCGATCGATTGCTGATAAGAAATCTTCTCCAAGTAGGTTTGCCCGATCCAAATGTACTGACAACTAGCTGAAAGACAAAACTAAACAGCCAGATAAACATTAACTAATTCTGTGGTTGTAGAAACAGAACGGGAGCTTTGGGTCTAAATACATGCTGAGGATGCTTTGAACTCTTTTTATATTTCAGATATTCCCATCATACCAGGCCCCGCCTATAGTTCTAATTTCATTCATTATTTTTTTTGGAAACAGTCCATGCAGTGATATGTATGAAAGTAAAAGATGACATTTCACATTGCCAAAGACAGACATTGAATAAGGAGAGTGAGTCACACTCCTTTTCGACAAAGTCTCTGAATACAAGCACTTGTATGAAAACAAAAAAGTATAAAGTCAGTCACAGCTCTTTGTCAAGTTAGCTGGAGTTAGTGGTGATTGTGGTTGATGGTTGCATGTGTCAGTGTGTTTTTGTGTGTGTGAAAGAGTGGTTGTATGTGAGGGCATGTAACTGTGGCATGTTTGAGGTTCAACTAGACAATCGATTGTTGTTATATGCACCCATGTTGGCTTTGGTACAATCATACAGTCTTTTCCTTTGAGTTAATAAGAAGGACTGCTGTAAACAAATTATTTGTATTTTCTTCTAACATTAGTTTAAAAAGGTGTCAGACTGCAGGCTCAGAAATCAAAGTTAACTATCTTTCCTGGGTCTTTATTTAAAACAAACATCAATTTGATCAACTTTTTTGTATTGATGTCATTGTATATGAACAATCTGTTTTTGTAAAAAGTTACATCTCCAAATATCCTTAGAGAAAGACCAAACATTTTTTATCTTCAAGGAAAGTTTGTATTTGTGTACATTTCCTTAAAATGATGTGTACATACAGTGTGTGTGTGTGTGTGTGTGTGTGTGTGTGTGTGTGTGTGTGTGTGTGTGTGTGTGTGTGTGTGTGTGTGTGTGTGTGTGTGTGTGTGTGTGTGGTTAGTTATGCCAGGTGTATGTGTGGCGACTGACTGAGGAACTCTGGGGGAGGAGCCTCCTCCTCCGTAGTCTGTAAGAGGTCTGAGGGGTCCGGTTCCTGGGACAAGAAGTTGAAATGTTCTTCAGCTGGCTCTATCTTGCACTCACTAATTAAGAGTTCTGTTCCATCCCAGTTGCTGAGGTCAGCGTGGGCGTTACCGTGTCTGCTACCGTTGCTGCTACCGTTGCTGTTGTTGAGCGCGGAAGACAGACCGGGGTTATGGTTGCTCAAAGGCTGGCTGAGGTTGTGCACAGAGAGGGAGCCTCCCCAGTCTGAAGGCCTCTCGTCTGGGCTCGATGAGAGCAGCAGCAGGGGGTTGACCTCCAGGCTCATGTTCCTCCTCCAGACCCCCTCCTGTGACTGCACCCCCGCACCACCATCCCCTTCCTGCTCAGCATCCACACTGGACCCCAGAACCACGGATGGGCCCAGGCTGCCCTCATCCAGCGGCAGCACGTCTGTCATTTCATCTGGGAGGGGGTCGGTGGAGCATCGGAGGTGGGAGGGATGCAGCAGGGGGGGCAGACGGAGGGTGAAGCCCCCCGAGGATGGAGGTGGAGGAGGCAGGTCAGGGAAGTGTGCTCTTTTGGAGGTACCATTGGGGGTGACCAAGGTTGGATAGGGGCTATCAGGAGGCAGCAGGGGGGACGGGGAGAGAGAGGCTGTGGACGGGGGGTAGGATGGAGGGGCTGAGTCCGGGGGGCCGTCGTCATCGGAAGGAGCCAGGATGAGACGCAGGCCTCTGGGGTTGGCGCTGAGAGAACGGCGTAATCCTCCACGGTTTTCTCCTCCGCCTCCAACAAGATTTCCCCCCTGGGGAGAAGAGGGTCTGATGACGGAGGTCTGGTAGTCGGAGTTGAGGTGCTGGTGGTTGTCCAGCTCGAACAGCGGCAGGGAGGAGAGAGTGAGGGCTGTGGGGCCTTTCTGGAGGACCTGGCGGTAAACGTCCAACAAAGAGTCCAGCTTTGACTCAATGGAAGTCACCTTGGAACAAGAAAAAAGAGAGCAAGAGAGTAGAGAAAAACAGAGAGAGGCACAAATCAAATCAGCACAGGTTGGATTGGATTTGATTCAACTTTCTTGTCAATTGCAAATAATAAAAGTAGGAGCAACACAATGCAGTAAGCATCTATCCAGGAGTGAAAGAGAAGCAGTCAAGCGTAAAACTCCTCTGTTATCAATCCCTGCACCGTGATATCCAGGATATCTCAAAACATACAGGTACAGTTTTTAGGTAAGAGTCAGTGACCATGACCTTGAAATAGGACGATGTCGCAATTTAAAATTGAAGAGGAACACATTTGTACACATTGCCTACAGAATATTTAAACTGGAATTGATTGGAGTGAGTCACAGGAAAGGCTACAGGGCAAGAATTCACGTAAATCCATTTTTCATTGTACTTTTGAGTGGAAATGAATGTACGAAACTACGTTCTTGCCTTGACTTGGATTTTTCCCTTCGGAAGTTTCGCTATCTGGTGCCCCAGCGGCAGTTTCACTTTGAGTTACATTTTCAGTTTGATTTCCTATGAATTAGCCGCTACAGTGCTGATGTAGCTTTTCCTGTAAGATTATTTTTTGGACTCACCTGTCTCTCCACCTTACACACCCGTCCCAGCATGCTCATGCCCTCCAGCGACTCTCCATCTGGATTCAGTTTGTCCCGCACCTTCTTATCCACGGGAATCTGGCCTTTTCCCAGAATCTGATCCACCCTGTGGATACATTTGAAAAAATACTGATGTTGTAATAGAAGCAAGGCACCCGAGTTTCATTTCAGGTTATCCCAAGTCAGGCAACAAACCTAAAGCAGCAGCGGGAGGAGTTAGTAAAACAGTAAAAAACACATCGCTAGGCTGTGTCAGTGCCCGAAATGGTCAGAATTATGGAAAAACAGATTGGATATCATTGACTATGTAGTTTGCATGGGTTATTCTCACACATGAAAACCAATGTGCACCAAAAAAATCTTCACATTTTCATAAGGAAAGGGATAAAAGCAAGTCATTTATGAGCACTACATCCCAAAATGATGTGTACAAATACAGTCAGAAGCAAAAGTTATGACAATGCATTTTTTTAAACGTGTTTTTGTGTGTGTTCAAAAACTGAAAACACGTAGAAAATATCATTACTGAAATGACAAGGTTTTTGCAGCCGAATCGCTGTGTATGTAGATTAATGTTTTATTTCTATTGTGTTTTAGGACATTCAAATGATTGTGAATCTGTAGCCAGCTTAATGAAGATTAGAGTATTGACCAAAGTTCTTCGACACTGTTATAACGTTGAATTAGTGAAGTTAATAAAGTTTCTATATCTCTAACATGCATCGATCTACGGGAGGCCAGCACCAACAATTATTTAGATTTGAGTTTTAGACACAAAACACAAGAAGTAATGGGAAACACTTACAACCGCACACAGGTTAGCAACATTCACGCACACACACACGCACACACGCACGCACACACACACACACACACACACACACACACACACACACACACACACACACGCATAAAGCTGAGGTGGAAAATAAGGAATTAGATCCAGTTCACACTTTTTTAACATTAAATAACAGTAGCATGCAGATACACACAGAGGGCGAGAGGGAAATGTAGGCTATTTCTGAAATATTTTGGACGGTTTATTTCTTGTGTCTTAATTTCTCTTATGTACATTGCCATGTTTTTTATGCTGCTGCAACACAAACATTTCCTATCTATCTATCTATCTATCTATCTATCTATCTATCTATCCATCCATCTATCTATCCATCCATCTATCTATCTATATATCCATCCATCTATCTATCCATCTATCTATCTAAAAATGCTTTTGAATTCGATTTTTTTCATTAGATTTTTATCCAAGGCTGATATTGGTACTAGAAATGAATGACAGCCATTCTTTGATTTTTGTCTTTTGAGAAAATATTTTTTTTTAAATGTGACTTGTATGTAGTCTTACATCTACATTGTTACTCATGTCATGGCAGAAACGTTTATAAAGAACCATTTAAACTGTGATTTGTCACTATTCAACAAAGAATGTGTATTTTTTAGGGATGCTCCGATCGATTTCACATGACGTAAAATACATGACACTTTTCTCTGTGCGCTGCAAAACAAGCTCGCCAAAATGGCTTCACCGGTCTGGCAGTATTTAAGGTGTCCGAAAAGACAATAAAATAGCGGTATGCAACGTGTGTGAAGCAGAAACTAGTTATACATATATTTATTCTTCACTGTCGGGTCACTCATTACTGGGTCAGTGAGCTCCATGAGAAGATACTGACAGGCTGTCAGGAGAGGGAGAGAGGGAGAGAGAGAGAGAGGGAGAGAAAAAGGGAGAGGGAGAGGGAGAGAGGGAGAGAGAGGGGGAGACGGAGAGAGAGAGGGGGAGAGAGGGAGAGGGAGAGAGGGGGGAGGGAGAGAGAGAGGGAGAGAGGGAGAGAGAGAGGAGGGGAGAGAGGGAGAGAGGGAGAGAGAGTGCTTCCGCTCTTTTCTCCCGTGTTAACTTTCTCCCAAAGTTAATGCAAACTTGAATAATGTACTTAATTTGAATGTAATAATTATGTTGGTTGTTGTTTGTGGAAGCGCATCGTGTATTGAAAAATGAATCTGAACTTTTCGATCCGTTACAATGATAAACTGAAGCAATAGAAAAATGAGCCCCGTTAACTGAGTTTTAAACATCACTTTAAATGGAAGATCCCCATAGCCCCCACCCACCCGATCGGTATCGGCCGATACTGAATCCGGCGATCGACCCCCAAATTCCCGATCGGAGCATCGCTATATTTTTTTATGGGATTTTATATCGTGTAAGGACAAGAGTTGGGACACTGGCCATCATGATTATAACCCCAGCTAATATATTCCCCTATACACCTCGCTATCAACACTGCAAATAATTATTAAAATCATAAAAAAATCAACGGGTATGTTTTCCACTTCAGTGTGCTTGTTAGCCACATTACAGTTTTCTATTCCTTGAGTACATTTGGAAATATAACGGCAGCCATTTGTTATACAATGCTACTGAGATACAGTAGGCCTACATGTACATAGCAGTGCTCAGCTGGTCTGTGTGTATCTACACCCGCCGCCTATAATCAGAGCTCATAGAATGTCGGATACAGAAAACAGACACTATGTTATTAGTACTATTGACGCCACTGGCACTGCTATTCATTCAACACAACACATCTCCAACAAACTTTCTGTAGAAAAAACAAAGTTATTGAATGTAAAAGCCACAATCCAGTACTGCTGATGCGTTATTTCCAGCTTTGCCTTTTCTTAAGTTAAGTCATAATGGACTTCTGATATAATATCTGAAAGGCTCAATGTGGCTTGAAGCTGCAAAAAAAGAATTGAGGTGAAACAGCTGTATTTTAAACAAACCACTGCCATATTTAAATTCATCCGGTATTTAATAGGATTAATGAGTTAGGAAAAATCTGGATTGGGGCTTTTACATAAAGACAAAGTAGATGCACTACTTCTCTAGGTAGCATTCAATAGCTTGTCTCCTTTCTACAGGCACCGACAGTATGTTAGCTGACAACATGTTGCAGTTTGATGAGGTTTTCAAGGTGCTCAAATCCGGATCAGGATCAGTTTCCAGGGTGCTATAAATAATTTAAGTTATATCTTTAACATATTATGTTGTATATATCAAATAAAATGGTGGGATAAAGGATCAACTCCTTAGTTGAAAACTATGGTAGGAATAAGGCCCAACATTTTTACATTAATTAATTAATTAAATAGCTTCTTTTTTTTTTTTATTGGTAAACTATCCATAATCCATTGTGTGAACTTCTTGATGACCTCTTCAACCTGACCTGGGTAAAGCAGCCAAATTGGTAAAATAGTGTACATAAACTTCCCATGTACTGATCAGTTCTTAGTTTGTGTAAACCCCACCTATCTCAGAGTAAAGTAGGCTTAATATAATATAAATTGTATGCCTTTGTAATCTCAATTTGGCAGTTAAACAGGAATACATCCGAGCTAAAATACATTTAAAAAAAGCTTCTTTGACTATTGCCACCCTGTGCATTTATAAGGGTGCCCTGAATTGCCATATAGGTTCAAAAGCATGTGATTGCAGGCTGCTTGACCCAGGTGCGACACCATCACATTTTTGGTTATGTTAGCGGGGAGGCAGTTGTCGGGCAGATCAGGACGGGGTGTGTCTAACCCCGGTGCAGACTGTTTCCTCCGGGCCTGGCTGTAATATAAATGCAGGGAGGGAGAGGACAAGGTCTTGACGCGGCTGCTGAAAGGCCTCGGAGGGGGCCCCACTACAGTGTCTAGTCTGGGAGAGAGAGGGGACACATACGTTTGTACATATACAGTACACACACACAGTGGATGGTGAAGACATAGCTGGAAGTAGGATAGAGGTAAAAGCAGGTTCACTTCGTTTAAACAGAACAACATTAACAGCCTCCAATGAAGACAATAAATGGGTAAATGGATAGTAAATGGGTGTGTGTGTGTGTGTGTGTGTGTGTGTGTGTGTGTGTGTGTGTGTGTGTGTGTGTGTGTGTGTGTGTGTGTGTGTGTGTGTGTGTGTGTGTGTGTGTGCTTACCTAGTCTGGAGGCTCTTGATGCGACAGAGCATGTCCAGGTGTCCGGCAGAGTATTGCTCTATGACGTCCTTCACATCGTACGGACGCAACGTCTCCTTAAACTTCTTTTTTGCCACGTGGAATTTCATGATCCTACACACACACAGATACAAACACACGGGGAGCAAAAGGAGGAAGAAGGAGGCTGAAGTTAGTAACGTCAAAGTCAAAAAAAAGCTTGAAAGATAAGGACGTAATGACTCCAACCGATCACTAGATGGTAGCAGCTGGTTGGAAATGATCCTCGTTACATATCACTTGTTGAAGTCCCCTGCTTCGCTTGTCAAATCCATAACAGACACACTGAATGACTTAGAAACGTAATCTTCGATCTGCTTCATTTGGTGAGCAGAGCCGCTGCTGGGTGGATAATATTGATACAGGTAAGAGGATCCAAACACTCGTTGCATTTGGATTCCCCGGCGACTTCTGCTTTTCTCCAGTTGCCTGTTTTTTTTCACTGGATAAATGGAAACCACGGTGACAGATGACCCTCAGTAAAAACAGTCCTGACA